ACTGACAATGAGCGGAGGTGGAGGGTACCTTCTGTCTGGTATAACTGTTGTGCTGGATAAGGGCAAATCTGATTCCAGTAATTTAGAAGCACTGAAGATGGAAGAGCCATCATCTAAAAGATGCAAAGTTCAAGACCTTCAGTGTTAACATTTGAAGAATTGATTTGTTTTTTAGATCTCAGGAGATACATGGTTAGTAAAATAACAAATACACTTTCTGTGCTCTTGACAGCACAGGAACAGTACCTGTCATACATCCATCAGCAAAAAGCAGAATTGTGCAGCAGGGAGAATCGCCTCTCTCTTTACCAGTTTACATGATCAGAATGAAAAGAAAAACCCATGGAAGCAAACCTGTGTCCAACACCACACCAAAAGCATTCTAACTTCAAAAAGACCTTCTGCTGATCAGGAGAGAAGCTGACATGGAGATAGGACAAAGCATCGGTGAAAGCACTCTTTTTGTTTGTTGCCAAAAGTGGATGTGATTAAAAACATTGATTCCGAATCAACCCACATAATTTAGCTTCCATTTTCCCAGATCAGCACCACAGTAAATGTTCTACGTAGTGTGATCTCTTCCTTCTTTGGATACTGAAACCTGCAATGTTCAGTAATCTAAGGAAGTGGAATAAATGGCAAAAATCATACGTTTTTCTTTCCAAAGGAAAAATAGAAAGAGAATACCAGAACTTTACAGCATGACTCCACGTGTCCTGAAATAAATATGGGAGAAAGTGTATGTTCATAAATTAAATACCAAATATTTAAACAGTGTCTCTGTTAGTATTGTCTGTCATTTTCCTGAGAGGAGTTATGTTTTTAAGATACGACAGTTTTGAAAACTGCTCTATGTATATTTATTTTACCATTCTGTTCTTCCATGATGTGTAGCTTTTTTATTTTTTTAACTTCGCATTTGACATTTTAATTAAACTACAGGATATATTTCCTAAGGAGATTTCTTTTTCTTAACTTTCCCTCTTTTAGGAAATCAGGTAGAGGCCTTAGGAGAAGAATACCCTTGCAGATTGCATTCTGTTAAACCCCGAGGTGAGAGCCAGCAGGACTGGGCTTCCTCTCTTGAACCTTACTCCTTGGTCAAAATCTGGAGCATTGGGTTGAAGTGCTTAGACTTCATGAAGCTATGATATTCTGCATATTAATAGGAATAATGCTCTTTTAGGACACCGATGTGCATAAATTGATCTGAAACCTGTGTTTTGCCCCTCTTACCTTTCACTACAATTTAAATATTGTAAATCATGCATAAGGAATAGAAATCTGATGCATGGCTTTTACTAGTGGAGTTTTTTAAAAAATGCTGAATTTCTCAACTTCTTTCAAGAATTAATAGATTAGTGGGGAAAGGTGTGGGAGCAGTTTTCCATTACTTTGTGTCTGCATGTGCATACTGAAGGTAAACTGGGACTTTCAAAGCAAAACAGCCATTATGTGAAGAAATTGAGACAACCTAGCATAGAGCAGTGCCTAGAAGCCTGAAAGCCAGTCAAAGGCAAGAAAATTATGAAATCAGCATAAACCAGGAGGTAAATAGTAAAAAAACAAACAAACAAACAAACAAAAAAAACACATCTTTTGGTACAGTTCTCTTACCTGTAAGGCAGACCTAGGTACTTTTCTGCCACTTCCATGGAGCTGGTTGGTACTCATATGTCATATTTATAGAACCACAATACTTAGACAGTAAAAAGGTTAAGCCACCAACATGTGTTTTAAATACTTGTTATCATGTATAACGTGATAAAAATAATAAGCTGAGGAAAATTCTGTTGGATGTTTTATTTGTATAATAAAAAAAGTTTTGAAAAGCAAACAGTATTTTTTTTTCAGGTGTTACAATACTATAGATTAAAGCCCAGCTGGCTGCATTTGATGTTAACAGCAGCACTCTTTAAATATTGAATGCTGTCCCACATTTTTTAAATGTCATAATGCTTGCAGTAATGAAAAACACTAAGAAAGGTAGTCAATTCATGTAAAACATTTCAAATTACTGAAGCTTCAAATTGATTAAACATGGCTCCATATATGCCATGGGGAAGAGCAAATCTTGATCTAGTAAGTCTCAGTTTAGTTGAAACACAAGTAAGTTACAATGCCATCCTAAAACCTACTGAAAATAAATAATGTAATAAATAATGTAATAAAGAACATTTCTAAGAGAAAAGACAATGTAGAGGAAGGAAGGTGAGGCTTGCGTACCTATAGATAAGTCTCCACACCGCACAGCTCAGGAACAGCATAGTTGCTAGAGACTTGAGGCAGAACATTGAAAAGCTTTCATCTCCAGAGGTATAGAAAATAACAAACCACTACACTTCAAGGTTAGTCAACACTGTGTAGATAAAGAACAGGTAAGGATTGTGGCTGATGTGTAGATAAAGAATAAGTCAAGGCTGTGGCTATTAAACCAAAGAGGGCTTCCTGAAGGCAAACCACAGAGTTCTCCAGCAGCCATCCGCTCAGCAAGGTAGAGAATGGGGTTTGGACAGTCTGCCAAGGCTGACCTCTGTTATTCTTAGGCTTATTTGCTGTACAAACAGCCATCAGTGAGGTGGCACGGTGTGTTGCTGCTGTGGTGCATGTACTCAGCTGTGGTTACATTCCCCTTAGCTCAACTAGGTGGTTGTTGTTTTTTAAATACACAAAAACCACCACAAACTTGCCTACAGCTTAAAAATGGGCCACTTCCACAAGAAAAATGCAGCTGTAGTCTCTGGAAATGAGGGTATTCTGTTTACCTGCCTGCATTTCTGGCTCCTGAAGTACTCACCAAAGCTTGAACTCTGCACAGTGACGATGATAAAGGAGATCCAGGTGTTGTTTACACCTCAGAGGACCCTCAACCTTCCTCTAATAGTTGACAGTGTCTGGCCTCAAAAAAATAATAATAGTAGTAAAATCACAACTGAAATTCTCAAGCCAAAGCTTCCATAACACAGTAAGGATGTTTAGCAGGGCAAGAACCTGGTTTGGTAAAGATTTGGTAGCTGTTTTTATCTCCACCTTTACTCACAGAACAAAACATACAACTGCTTTCTCCTAATGAATTTACTGAAAATGTAAGCAAATGAAAAGAAGTAGCTACCAAGCTACCATCGCTGTGCTTTACTAGAACTACACAACCAGATTCACAGTTTCCCAGGGGTCCACGCGCCAGGAGCCAGAAAACATTATTTTCAGAAGCCAAAACCACTTAGTTCGGCTTCATTTGATTTGGAACAAAATTATGCATCTTATATACCACTACTTGTTTAAAGCTGTACCACTCAGGTTCAAAGCCAACAGCGTACAGTATTCCTTTCAAAAATGCAAATTAATGTAAATGGTATTGGAGGACTGATTTAAAAAAATGATCTAGTGTCACTCATCAAAGAGTCCTGAGGAGGCAATGCAAATGTGGAGCTAAAAATGGAACAGGCGCAAGCAGACAGAAGAGCTACTTGGCTCTCGGTGCTTGTGGTGTCAGCCCCACAGAGGAACAGAGAAAGATGACGGCTAAAAGGGCTGGCACAAAGCTCTTGGAATCCACTGAACAATACTTGGGATTAATGCAGCCTCTTTCAAGGCATAGGTTTTTAAGCAAAACATTGCTGATTCATGAATGCGTATTTCCATAAGATGAGCCTTTTAAAAAAATAATCGTTGTTAGGATTACATACTTGAACAATTTTAGAAAGCTTTCCATGCTACAACTAAAGCTATTTGCTTCTGGTTATTCAGATACTCCCAGACATGCCTTCTCTTGCACCACCTCAAAAAAAACCTACCATGTTGGAATAATTATTGTATGGTATTACAAATTTTTCAAGCGAATCTCGGACTTTGAAAACAACCAAGTATTCCTGCAGCCTGGGGCACGTTCTAACCTTCCTTACTGTTGCTAGAAAAGCCCAGTGAAATCACAGTCCTACTGAAGTCAAAATTCTGTCGACTTCTGTGAGCCAGGGTTTGGTCCTTGTATAATTCAACCAAACACAATGTAACACTGGAGTGCTCTTATCAAAATCCCTAGGCATTAGACATGCTCTGACAGCTCATGGATCAGCATCTCACTGAGTATTTTCACTTCATACTGCCTTACAGTTAAATTGAGAGTATATTTGTGTTTTAATGAACAGGTGGATGAAATGGGTTAAGCTGGGATGAGAGATGCCGCACATTTACCGATAATGTGGCTCAGCTGAATTCTTGGTATAGCACCTCCTGTGTTGGTGCTACACAAGCAGCTGATACAAAGACATTGTCACAGCAGAAAGACTGCAGAAAAAAAAACACATTTGGAGAAGTTGAATTAAATTGAACCCCAGATATTTGGAGTAATTGAAACTAATTATGGGATTGTTTCTTTTTACTGCTTCATAATGTCACAAGATTACCAACTGGTTCCTTCCACAGGCCGCTTATTATTCTCCATAAGGCATCGTACTGTTTATTACACAGAACCCATCCTGCCCTCAGCTCACTAGCTGCTGAGAAACTTGCTTTTTGCAAAATTAGCACTGCTCTAATGTAGCACAGAGGCTCGGCAACGCTGTCACCACTACCTGCTTTTGTCTGCACTAGACAAAAAGAATGGCAGCAAAGCACATTCACTGGGCGATTAAATTTATGGAACTACTTCATCTGAATGAATGGCAAAAAACAGTTGACTACATAATGCAAGGATTCCAGAGCACCATGTACTTTCCAAATTAACAATCAGCTATTTGGTGTTGCAACCTCCTTGCTTCTTTAATGATTAATTTCCAGAACTAAGTAATTCACAGCACATTTCTGAGTTACTAAAGCAAATTAACCATTAATATCTTTCTTACCTTTTATGCTCCTCCTAAGTGGCAGGTAAAAGGCATAGACAGGCTCCTTGCAACTTTAAAAAAAATAATGGTGAACGAGTCAACATATTGTGCACAAACCACTCATCTGATACAGCTTACTTTGAAATAACCCAATCATTCAAATAAGCAAGGAGAAAGTTTGCTCCAAGATCAATGTTTTTTATTATTTCAAACTCAGACATATATTTCTGAAGAACACTAACACAATTATTTTCACAAGCATATTAAAAATATCTGCCTCGCATGAAAGGTTATAATATTAAAATTCATGCTATTCAGATTTCAATAGCATAATAGCAAATTAAAGACATTTTCAGCTGTATAAATCACTACACTATAGTGGACAGTAAATAGTATTTCCTGTTTTTAGGGCAAACAACAATCCAGTGGCCGTGAATTTACCACAAAATACAGGTATTGTGAGTGAAGCTACACCTAGCTTTGAAACACCAAAGCAGATCATCTTCAGCCTCTTCTGTTGTCATTCAACGTCTCCGCTATTTTCTGCATCTCCAAATCCATAGCGGCCAGGTTTTCCAGTTCTTTTTCCTGTGAAAACATAAAGGGCATTTTACACTTGAATTAATTCAGGGACATCTGCTACTTTTTGGTCCCTGGGCAGCTTCTGGGGTGGGGAAGTGAACAGCAGTGAAACGCATACTTCAGAGATTTGTGCAACATCCTGCTTTTATCAGAATTAGTGTTAGAGAAAGGATCAAAATACTCATTCTGAGAGCTGGACAGCTTGATCTTTTTAGCTATAGAACAGCATTAGCTCGTAGTGACTTCCTGCTGTCTCACAGTTGCTGCTCCTAGCAGCATAAATTCATTTCTGCCCAGGTGAAGGTCCCTTAGGAGACCACAACCTTTTGCTCACAGCGCTTCTGGCTCATGACGCACAGCAAACGCAGCGTGCAGTCAAAGGAACTCTTCCAGGCTGCCAGATGCTAGGGGAAAAAGTTACGCAGTCTATGCTTGTTTTTTATGCTAACTCACGAACGCTGTTACACCTCTAGATAAATTCCAATCAAACCTCCACTGCTCCCGGTCCAGCTTAGCTTTGTGCAGCAGAAACAGTAAGATATAAGACAATCACCTAGCTGATGGGTGTAGACTCAGTTTTCCTGAGCACTGAAGCAGAACAGGGGGTCCAACAAGAAAAGGATCCTCGTACAGGGGGAATGCATGCACGAATCAAGCATGCGAGTGCTAGCCCGGTTCTGCTCTAAAATGAGGGCATCAAGTTACTGGGTAGCTGAATCTCTTCCAATGCACAACTTACTTTCCACCTGCATGATTTAACAACCCATCAGACCAGCTGGTGCTTGCTAATTATTACCTCTCTGCTCCCGCTGGAATGGGCGTCTTTGGTTTATTAATCTGTAACATCCTAGAGAGAGAGGTAAAGCCCAAAGAGGAAGAATTTCCTCCATCTCCCTGTCCTGCAGCAGGATGAACCTCCTCTTCAGTTTATAAACCATGCCCTGGGGTAGGCTCCACTAAATTCATTCAAAGACAGCAAAATTTTTAAATCACTGTATATCTGTCTTTTAACACGATTTAATCACCTTTGTGTTTTGTTTTGTTTTTTTTCCAGTCACAGTTTACCAGCTGTCTCAGGAATTAATTCAGAAATGTGCACATAAAATTTATTTCCCCTGGCTCTTCAGAGGAACACCTGTACACATACCTCCTCTTCTGTCAGAGGCCTCTGGCTCAGAGCTCCTTTGTCATTCCTGACTGTGTGACGTTTTTTCATGTCTTCGCCAGAGCTGTACAACTCTGGGAACTCAGCTGATTTCTTCCTGTAGTTCAGGAGCTGTGCAAGTTGATCCATCTTGTTGTATTGTCTTTTAGTATCGTATCTATTCATTTTGCCAAGGTTCCTCTTCTCGGAGCGTCCGTGGTTCAGAGCGCTTAGAAGCTGCCTTTTGTCCCACCAGTCATAGTCAGTGTAATCAGGGAAAAGGTTCTTCTCGTTCAGGGCGGGCCTGCTCTCCTCTTTGCTCTCCACCAGCCGCTCTCCTGCGCTGTTCCTTTTCTCAAAGTGCCGGCTCTTCCACCACAGCAGTGGGTATAAGGAGCTGTAGGATGCTGCGGTTCTCTTGTTCTCTGCAGGGAGACGGCTTCTGTACTCTTCCCCCTCGCTGTATCTTCCTTCCTCCACATTCTCCTCTTCATTTTCCAGCTGATCACTGCTGTAATGCCTCTTTTCTACTTCCTCCTCCTCTTCCTCCTCCTCACTGTTGCCAGGGTAGCGCTGCTGCTCTCCGCTGTCCTCAGTGCTGTAGTGTGTTCTGGCCTGCCCTCTGCGCTCCTGAGCGTACACCTTCTGGAGCTCTTCATCTTCGTCGTCCCACAAGCGGTACCTTCCTCCAGCACGATGCTGCCTCTCCTTGCTGCCACCGCTGTGATACCTGTCTGGCTCTTCCTCACTGTCACCTCCACGATACGTCCTGCCCTCAGAATGGTGTCTCCTTGCCTCATGCGATCCGTCATGGTGCCTCTTCTCCTCGCGCCATTTCTCCTCGCTTTCTTCGCCGTGGTGACGCCTCTTACTTTCTTCTTCGCTGCTCTCTTCACTCTGCTGCCACCTCTCTCTGTACTCTGCACTTCCCTGGCCTGCATACCTCTTCTCCTCTACCTCTTCAGACCCATGCCTCCCACGGTAACCACTCTTCTCCTCACGCTGCTGCTCAGGTTCTTCACGGTGGTGTTTCTGATGATGATTCCTTTTGTCCCACAGAGGGGCCTCCTCTGCATCTGATTCCTCAGCTAGTTCCTCTTTCTCACCACCGTGGCCTCTCTTCTCTTCGGAGGAGTCATCCATTCCGTGCTTCCCGTGGGAATGTTTTGGTTTGTAAGGTTGCTTTTCCTCCTCTGCTTCTTCACTCTCATCGGATTCTTCACGCTCTTGCTGACGGGAGAAATCACGTACCTTAGACTCACGGTGGTATTTTTCACTTCTTTCTTCCTCTGCCTCTCCCTCTTCACCTTCGTGAATTCTTTTGTAAGGGCTCTGCATTCCCTCCTCTGAATGCAAGTGGCCCACGGGGCGCTGGTCATTCCCCTCGGGGAACTCCTCTGTGCCCATACCTGCAGAGTTGGCCTTCTTGTTGCCAACAGCACGGTCTACCTCTTCGTCATGATGCTTGCTCTCTTTGCTTTCTTCTTCACTGTGGTAGCTGTTCTCCTCCTCTCTTCTGATTTCCTGATAGTGTTTCTTTTCTTCTGTATGAAGTCTCTCTTCATTAACGGGTATGTGGTGTCCCTCCTCCTCTTCCTTGCTCTTACCTTCCTCGGGAAGGATTTTCCCTTCATCACTTCCTTTCATGTGCTTTCTAGAGTCATCTTCTACCTGACTTTGTTCCTTCTCCACACTCCCAGCAAGATGTTTTTCCATCTCTGCTGGGTCTTTCAAATGCCTTGCTTCAAGTTGTTTGTCTTCACTTCTCTCTCTGTCAATTTTACCACCTACAAACACAAAAGCAGCCTAATGAAGTAATCTCACTCTCCATTGATGTGATGTCAGCTTAAATATATAACTGGCTTCCAGAACTGTTACAGACACAACTAATTTTTTCACTTCTGCTTTTCAAATTTGTTATTTTCATTAATTTTGTATGTTTGCCTGGAAAAGCATTAAGTATCATTTAATTAGGTATTTTCTAAATTCCATTAAAGTGTCCAGAATCATCTTTCCTCTTTGGCTTTTTTTGTTTAGTCGTGATAGCATTTTTATCACTGATTAAATTAACTTTTATTCCCATTAAAACTCAATGGGATCTGGAATTGTGTTAAGTTTTTTGAATGTCTGCCCTTAGCCACAATACAAGTTCACTGACAGAAAGGACAGCCATCTATTTCAAGCTACTCAGGAATATTTGAGGAATAGTAAAAATGTGCTTTTAGCAAATATAAAACTTTCTAAGTTGATTGAACAAAAACGAAAGAAACCTGTTACTTTGCAATAGTTACATTCAATCAAACGTGTAGCTTCCACTATTTTCAAAATCCTAAATGAAAGGCTGACCGACCACATCGGTAACGGTACATTTCTGTGAAGGTATTTCTGCTTCACTTGTGCCTGACTAACAGCAGAAATAGGTCACAAATCCTAGAATTTTTCAAACAGCTTCACAGATTTAAAAATAGCTTGCTCTTTCTGAAAAGCTTCTCGTTATCTGATATTCTTGGAGAAGAGTTGCCTAATGGCTAAAATATGATTCTTACTCTCTCCAGCCAGTAAGCGAATTTTTGTTTACCAGAAGATGACAAATAGACAGGTTGATCTGAAACTAACACTATCACGAACAAAGCTTGATGCCCGATGACATTCAGCATCAACTAGGAACTTTGGGCTGTGTTAGATGCCAACAGATGTGTTCCTAAAGCTTGAAAACCACCTTCTTCTGATGACTGTGTAAGGGCCACACGTTATTTCCTCTATAAACAAGCAGCAGACAGATGGGTTTCATTATTGCTTCTTGCTGGCAGGTAAGCTGAAGAACCTTTTTATTGTTCTGTAATCAAATAAATATATACCAGGCAGAAAAGAAATATGTGCATTTTGCCATTTGGCACCGTGTCAGACTTAACCGCACTTCGCTACAGACCGAAATCAAGCATGCAAACAGCCTTGTACCTCAACGTCAAGGCAGCTGTAGGCATGAGCTCATCAGAAATGAGGACTCCCAGAGGGAGTTTTCTGCACGTGCTTCCAGACCTCTGGAATCAGCACGACAAACTTAATCGTTTCTGGGCTGCTTACAGCCTGAGTGAGAGTCCCTCTCCTGAACCGGGCACAGATTCAGCTGCCACTGGGTGCAGGAGCCTTGCTGATGTAAGAGGAGGTGAGCTGAAGCCCGTTTGGACATGCTGGGATGCATTCAGCACCTGCTCCAAACCTGGCCGTGTTTGTTGACCTCCCAGGCTAGATGGGAGCTTGTCTGCTTCTCTCAGACTCTGCAGGTGGCTGAAGCGGAGAGCCACACGCATTAGCCAAAAATCCCTGAATCGCTGGCAGTTTTAAGGTAAGACTGCTTGCTCTTTGAACCAGACAGACTACACTGAAGAAAATAGGAGTTTTGACACTGAAACTAGGAGGCACTAGACTGACATGGGCTGAAGTAACAGTTTACTAGCTCTGACCCAAGAGAGAATGCATCTGAAAGTTGATTTTCTCAAAGTTACCAACAAGAGGGCCTAATGCTGAAACCTGTACTTTTTGAGAATATTTCTAACTCGCTCATGTCACTCCAGGCTAGTCTTAGAAATAAAAATGAATCACTCAATGGCTGTTGCAGGATCAGCTTTAATATTCAGGGAGGGAAATTGATCACTACTCATGTTACTTACACTTGGCACTTATGGCAATTCTGTGGCTTAAATTTAGATGAGGAGCTTACAGAAGATGACAAAAAGTGGCACATCATGATTAACAGCACGAAGTATTTAACTTCCAAGACATTATTCTTATATGCGTGGAATTAAAATAATGCATCTATCCTGAAAATGAGAATATTTGTTGATAAAATTAAGAGTTGTATCTACCAAATGGCTTTCACAATAAGGTTGTACTTACTCTTTCTGAGGATTTCTTTACATTCAGGATTAATTGGTGGTGCATTTAGCTTAGAGAGAGCATTGGACAGAACTTCCACTATGCACCGTGTTACCTAGAAGAAACAAAATTGGAAAAAAAAAATTCTCATGGTGAAAATGGAAATCCTGCTTCTGACCCAGTCAGCAAGGAAGCCAATTTAGGGTTAGAGTTCATGGTTAGCAGTTACAGGTTTTGGGCAACCTCCAGCTCTAGCAGAACCGTGCATTTGGGTAAGAGGCGCTCAGCTCCTCACTCCCATAGCAGTAAGAGAATAGTCATTGACTCTTTTTGTTCTCCTATTTTGTTTGCACAGGTAACGGGCTCCTTTTGTATGTTTTTAAATATTAAACATCCTATTCAGTACAAAAGAGAATTAAACAACATGTGGCAACCCAAAAAAAAGATAAAAAAACACCACCACAATACACCCAAAATATGAGGAACATCCTGTACCATCTGCCCAAACGAGGACCAAGCAAAGGTATTGCTTGGACTGTGAATAAACCAAAAAATGCCTCTATAAGTAAGTGACTTGCTCCACAAAGTACTTCAGGAGCTTACTCTAGGAATTTCAAGTATTCTTCCACGTGTGTGTGCTTTAAAACACTGCTTCTTTTAGTATTTGGCATTCAACCAGAAGCAGAGGACGTTGTTTTAGAAAAGTGGTACAACCAACTCTAATCCTAACCGCTCCCCAGAAGAGCTCACCAACACAAGTAGAAGTACTGCACTGGAAAAAAGTAAAAATAAAAAAAAAAATCACATATTTAGCAACTGCAGATATTCCACACTAGTTCAATTTTCCTCAAATTTGCCTCCTCACTTTCTACAGTCTGATTATATGTACTATCGTGTAGTATTTCAGATCATTTTTCAGGCAGCTGCAAAACACAGAGTTTGTGACACAAGAAGCCAGCTTCCATTTTCATCAAATGCACTGATGTGCATGTAGTTGTCTTCTGACAGCTAAGGGGACTCTGTGTTCCACATCACTGATGATCTCTTAGGAGTTTACCCTTAGGAAAATAAAAAAAGCATTATCTTGGGAGTTTAAAAACACAACAGGAGCCAGAACACTGGAGAGCATGTGACTGATATTGTCTGAGATTTGCTTTGACGTATAGCTACTCACCATCTCCTCCATATGGTCTTTTTCCACTGGAACTGCGCTGACACCTGGAAGAAAAATAAATTATTGCAGACTCATTAATCCTAGCAGCCCCATAAACATCACTGACAGAAGACCTCAGTCAAATTAGTCTGATGAGGCTGCTTGAGTTTGGGGTTGGTAGGATAAGAAAACCAGGTGCATTTTGCATTCTATCTTTTCTTCCTCAGAACGGAAAAGCACTGAAAAGCTTCAACCCAGCTCAAGAGACATGTTGACATTTCCAGCACAAAAATAATACACACCAAAAAAAGAACAGAAAGCAACACTCAAATTCTAAGAATGGAACTTGACAGCGATCTGGGTCTTGTAGGTACATGTAGATGTACCTGTTTGGCAGTGAAAGAAGAAGAAACAAACAAGGTCTGTTTTCACTCCGAGAACTCTTTCACCTTCCACAAGAGGCTCAAGTGCCCCATGGCCACCTCCCCAGCAGGAGACCACTTCAGAGGTGAAAACCAACTACTGTCCTGACCCCACAGAGAAATCCTGTCTCACCTGGAAAGGAGGGAGCTGCTGGAGGGAGGACAGAGCCAGAAGGGATAGGGGTTTTCCATTCTCAAAGTGGTCCATTAGCAGCCCAATAAATGAGCAAGAAGTCAAATCGCAGTGGAAAAAACAATTCTAGAAGAAAGTGGTACAACTTCTCTCTATTGTGAGGACACCTCGTGGCACCAGCTCTACTGCTGGTCCAAGGTCTTTGCTTTTGGAAAGAATCTGCTGCACATGAAACCTTCATGATGCTTTATTTTTGCCATCACTGCTGCATTGTGTCCCCAGCTGGTTAATGAACTCAGCTGCTGAGCATTAATACACCTCCTCAATTCTCCCCCACCCCAAAATTTGCAGAAGTGAAGTCTGCCAGCCACGCAGGAACACATCAAAGCAAGGGTTACTGTACCGCTGCTTCACAGCCTTACTACTCTGAGCAAAGTCACCATGCATAAATGTAGAGTTTGGGGGCAGTTCTGAAGTTCTTACAGAGGTCAGGATAGTCTTAAATTCAAAGGTCGCCTTCTCTACCATACAGCTTTGGTGAGACAGCACGAGATCTTCTGTAGCAGATGAACACAAAGATTATGGAGACCATGGAACCCAATTTGCCTTACAGCAACAGGAAAACCTGACACTGTCCCCTGGAAGTTTCCTGCAAAGCAGTGGAGTGCGTAACCTTAGACTACGGAAAGCAACAAAACCTCTCTTCTTTTCCATCCACCGAGGAAGCAGACATCTCCTTGAGCACTGGCTCCATGTGTAGTATCTGAACACTAATAACTCTCTTGATATTCCCACTGCCTTCTATTTTTGCTCCCTCAAACACAAACGTAGGAGTGTGCTCCTCCAGCGCTCTACTCTTCTGCGTATACAACTGCAGAGCAGGGAACCCGCAGCAGGGTAGCACAGAAAGGATTCCCCTAAAATAGCACTAGGTGCCTACCAAGCCGCCTCCCCAGAACGCCTGGTGGTGCATGAGGGAGATGGTGCTATGCAGAGCCAACACTCTCTCCCACTGTTAGCAGCAATCAGTGCTGAACGAGACAGGCTTTGGGTTACTTTATTTACTAACCTAGTTATGCAAATAACTACCACGCTACTCAGTGCTGACGCCGTTGCAGTCCAACCTGCCTGCATCTGAGCACGAAGAGTAAGGATGTACGCGCGTGCGGGGGCAGGAGGCTGGCAGCATAGCCCCCTTCTACTAAAACAAACCAAAAAAAAAGGTGTTATCCACTAAAAAGGCATTCTCCCAATCCCATAAGGGCTAGAAACGCTGCTCTTATGGCAAGCAGAGGGGATGACCTGCTGCACTGCCTCTCCCTGACACAGCTCCTCCTGTCATTCAGCCCATGAGACATCAGGACAGGTGCAAGGACAAACACCTGACTGTGTCCTTTGGAGTTGTTGTGCATCCAGCGAGGTGCATCCAGTTGGCGTGGCAAAGCTGAACAGACAACCTTCTGAGCGCCTTTCGCTATTTGAGATGCCACCTTCAGGTTGCCTCTCAAGTGCTGCATCAGTGGTGTGGGAGTACAAAGCCAGGCTGTGCTGACTGCCTTCGCCCTCTCATTCCAAAGCTCTCGTCTCTCCAAGAGAGAGACAGACAGATTTACACGTAGATTAAACAAGCACTTGCTTAGCGGTCGTTAATGATGAGAGCTGATATGCACAGACAAAGAGGAAGCATCTGGCTATCATAACGTCAGAAGAAACAGACAATATTGGATGTATGTCAAGTTAGCCTGCCGGAGGAACAAATTGAGTATCCAATCTATCCCAGAGCCTGGAATAACGCACTGAGGCGGTTGCTGTGCCAGAGCTGAGATGGGAAGCCCGTGGCGAGCCAGCATCCTCACCTTATGCCTGCGCCAGCTGGCAAGAGCTCCCTCAGAGCCTCCTGCCAGCTGCTGCTGGCCGGCCAGCACATCTTGGTGTCCTGCACCTCTGCCATCCCCTCCATGTGCTCAGGGTGATCTGCAGGGCAAAGTCATCACCCCGATACAGCTGGCGGCAGAGCACCCACCTGCAGAGCCGGTGGGCAAGCGGGGATGCAGCAGACGGTACCACTGCAGGGTTTTGCAGCAGAAATAGTCAAGGCATATGCCCAGAAGGAAAACCTTGCCCCATCTATACTGAAGAACCAGACCACAGACCCACAAAGGAAAAGACAACTCTGGGTGTGCTACCCCTCCGGACCCAAATCTGCCCAGGCAGTTCAAGTCAGCCCATTTCATTTTGCAGAAGTGCTGAGATGAAGATCACTACAGAGAATAAGAAATGAAGACTTTGTACAACTTTAAAATAGCAACACAGGACAAATTCATGTGGCTTTTGCTTGCATCTCCAAGACTGGGACAGACCTTTTGGTGGTCCCTGTTTAGATCCTCCAACTACAAAATGTTCATTAATGCCAATGACCCAGTGTAATGTCACTGGTCCTCCAAATTTCAGCTAAAACCTTTCCTAGGGAAAATCATAAACTCTGGCATATTGATTTGAAGAAGGAGCACCAGAAAGTTCCCCAAGTTATCATTTCACTGATTCCCAGCTCCAAACTCCTTAGTTCATTAATCCTGGATGACATTTGACTGGGCAAGACAGCCAAAAGGGACATAAAGAAGTATCTCTCCAGCCTGATGGCATAAAACATGACAAAATATTTGGTAAGAAGTTCCCATTGGGACTGTGGATTAAGTCTGGCAAGCTTCTGTGATCTGGGATCTCTTGCCATCTCCCACTCTCCCCTGAGATTATTTATTACTATAAAGACCCTTGAGGGTCTGCTGTGACTTGGACGTGTTTTTGCACAAGTCCCAGCAGGCTTTCCACCCTAAGACTACAATACACATACAGCTGAACTATTCAATGCAAAATTACGCCGACTTTCACCAAATGATGAATTACGCATAGAAGGCTCTAAAGCCAAGTGATTGCCTCATCCTACTGCCTCCAATTTTAATTTCTCAGTTTAGTTTTAATACTTCTGCTGTACACCAACATGAAAATTGCTAATTAAAGCTGGAGACCTGCTCCTTTAAAATCCTCTCCCAATACAGCACCTAGCCGGGAGAAACCTAGCGGTACTGCTTGAATAAAAGTCTGTGGAAGGAAACAGCCTGGGTGTACTGGGGGAGAACAAAAAACAAACGGAGACCAGCCGTGTCCTCACAGCGTGAGAAGGAAAAGGTTCGTTTCTGCACGGTAGCGACTACGAGGGCTCTGTGGGGAATCCCTGACGGTGCTGAGGGGAATGGGGACAGGTGAACGCTCCGTGACGGGGAGCACCCTACGTGCTTTCCCCTCTTCAGTGCTACCACCCAAGCCTTCCTCACACCCAAAGGGGAAAGTTTCCTCTTTGGGGACCTGTGACATTAGCTGTTTCGCCTCACTAGCCCCCTGCCTGAGGGGTGCTGGCCCAAGGGGTGCCCCCTGAGCCACGGCCACCCCGCCGTGACGCAAGATGGACGTCACACCGCCACGGGTGGCGTCACCCCAGAAGGGAGGAAGGGGAGGAGGGGGTGGAATGGCCAAGAAAGCACCGTTATTCTCCCCAGAATAACGCCGGAATAAATAATAATAATAAATTAATAAAATATATTTAAAATATTATTAAAAAATAAATAAAAATTGGGATAAAAACTACAACGAGCCACCCGACCGGCAGCGGGGCTCTCGACCCGCCTCGCCCTCGCCTCACGGCGGGTCCCTGAGGGCGCCCAACGGCCCCCACCGCCGCCCTCCCCTCAGGCGCCGGCCGCGCCCGCGCTCCCCCCCCACCCCTATTCCCGCTCACCTGCCAGGGCGGCGGCCCCCAGGAGGCCGAGCAGCGCCAGCGGCCCCATGGCTCCGCTCCCCTCCGCTCCGCTCCCCTCGGCTGGGCTTGGAGCGGCGGCTCCGCCTGCTATTTAAAGGGGGGAGCGGGGGCGGAGGAGACGGGCGGGGGGCCCCGCCGGGAGTCCTGCGTCACTCCGAGCCCCCGGGGCCGGCGGGGGAGGCTGCCGCCGCTGCTGCCATCGCTGCTGCCCGTTGTCCTCTTCCCCACAGAGGGGCTGAGGGAGCCCCACAGGCAGCCCTCGGTGCCCCCAGCCCGGGGAAAAGAGCAATGTTCCCTGCCTCCCTGCTCAGAGGATGCAGCATCATCCCTAAGGCTTTCCCCTATACTACTAGGATGCTGAACCTACAAGGCAGCAGGGTAGTGAGGAGGTGCAGTCATCTTCCCCCCCTACACCACCCATGTCCATAATTCAGCCCTGATCGAAGCCTTTTCGGGTGCTGCGGCGTCCTTTTTGTCCCTCCAAGTCGCTGCTCAGCAAGCTCGGAGCCGGAGAATTACTGGAAAGTGATCCCCGTGCTCCCGTCGTCTGAACTTGGCAGTGTTCCTCAAGAGTTGTTGCTGGGGAAATCACTGCTCCTAGCATCCATCTCCCTCACGCTTCTTCTGGTGGTGCTCCGGGGACCCTGAACAAACCTACCGAAATGAAGTTTTACATCGTTTTCTCAAACAGCCCCA